GTATTCATTCATGCATGTCCATAGTGTAGCAAATAAGAATCCAAAGATGTTAAGTGATGATTGATGTCTGTTGGAGGAACTAAGAGGACAGATAAATGTACTAGTGACTAGTCTTAATAGAGGAGTTGCTGATATTGATGTTATTGAAGCCCTTCAAATAGCTGAGGAAAGGCCAGGCATGGTGGCTCACACCCGTAATCCCAGCACTCTGGGAGACGGAGGCAAAAGGATTACAAATTTATAAAAATAAAAGGATTACAAATTTGAGCCTAGACTGGGCAGTTTAGCAATTTAGTGAGATCCTATCTCAACGTTAAAAAAGAAAATTGCTGAGGGTGTGTAGCTTAGTGTAAAGGACCTGGTTTTAATTCCCAGTAGTGGGTGAGGGGAGCTGAAGATAGCAGTTGTGTTTACCATTAACCCAGTTGTCTCCAGATTGTATGTATGTATGTATGTATGTATTTATTTATTTATTTGGTACGGGGGATTGAACTCGGGTCCTTGTGCTTGCGCAGCAGGCGGCAAAACCACTGAGCTAAATCCCCAGCCCTTTATGTCTTTATTTAAAGAAATAAATATTCCTTTACTCCTTGCATGGAATGTTTCTATGGTTCACTTCCTGTCCTGGCTGTTGGCTTTTGGATATTTTCTTTTTTTTTTTTTCCCTGGTACTGGGGATCAAACTCAGGACCTTGCGCTTGCCGGGCAGGTACAGTGCCACTGAGCTACATCCCCAGCCTAGCCTTTGGATATTTTCTGGTGTGACACAGAGGCAAGTAAAATCATCTTTCCTTCACTTCCTCATCCCACCCACCATCAGATCCTCCAGAACATCTTGAGCTGGTCTGTTTTGTCTCTGCTCATTCACATCACAACCATTTTTGCCTGGACTTCTTTAGGGTCCCCTGACTCATTTCTCTGTTGCTTTTATTTTTGTCCTTCAAGATCCATTCTCTGTACAGCAGCTGGAGGGATTTTCTAAACCTCAGTTCTAAACTCCAGAGTCACTAAGAGGAGTCACTTTGACCCCCCCACCATGCTATTAGAATACAATCTAGGTGCCAGTCTGGGCCCTGTGGAGCCCTATGGGGACTATCTTTGCCTGGACCTGAATTTCTCAACATCCCTGCTCTCTTTCCCAGTGGAAATGCTCTTTCCTAATATAGTACAGCTACTTCCATCTTTTGCAGTAATGGATACTTCCTTAGGCCTTCTGATCACCCCATCAGAAATAATCTTTGTGCTGGGTCTAGTGCGCATGCTAGTAATCCCAGCACTTAGGAGGGAGGCTGAGGCTGGAAGATTTCTGTGAGTTTGAGGCCAACCTGAACTACATAGTGAGACCCTGCCTAAAACAAAACAAAACAAAAATGTAGTCTTTCAGGTACTACTGTTGGGGAAATATAATTAAAAACAAAATCTCCCAACCCAGGAATACTGTCCATGAAGGTACTAAAGAAAGAAAACATAACTGAATAAGCATTAAACCAAAATATGATTATGACCACAGGCAGTCTGTTGAGAGATTGTAAGGACAGAAAGAAATCTTACCCTTTAGATAGCCAAGCAAGTATAACCTGTTATATACATTTTCAACATAAATAATAGTTACAAGATTGATGGTACCACATGTTGCACATAGTTCATCCCAGCATTACTGGTAATTAGGGTGACCATCTGTGTCAGTTATTTGGCTTTGTCTAGAAGAAAAACAAACTTCTCATACTTTTATGACAGGAGGTTGTTTTATGTCTTGAAGTGAGGTATCTATGGAAGTTTGGCTCTGCTCTCCCATGGAAATTGGGATGTTTGCATTTCAAAGAGATGCAAAGTCCTAGGACCCTGAGAAGAAAGACATTCCTAGGTCAAAGACTTGCCCAGTCTTCAAAAAGATTTAGATTCATTTCAAAGAAAAGAGGAAATAACATATGATTACAAATTTTCTGAAGTAAATGCTTAGAGAAAGAGGGAATGAAGGATATTCCCTTATTTTCAGCAGGAAGAATTGAACCTTTTATCTTTATTTTGTATTTGTCATTACACCCTCAAATCTCTGATTTGACCAGTTTATCTAGGATGACAGCCAGGGCTTTCTTTAAGATGTTCACTTTGCTCTGCATCCACGGTACCCAGGGCAGTGCCTCATGGCATTTGTATCTAGTAAATAGTGAATTGAATGAATTAGAAGACATACTGACTTGACTCTCATATTTCTTGACTGACTCTGAAGGACATCATTGAAGATCAATAGCTTGGAAAATGCTTCTGTATTGTTGAGTGAAGTACTAACTCCAGGTAGTGGCTATGCCTTTGTATCAGGCACATTATCTCCTCTAGTCCCATAGAGTTGCTGTGTAGACAGGGAAGCTGAGGTTCAGCTTGCCACCCAGCTGGCCTATGCCAGAGCCCAGATGGAAGTCTAACTCCAATATGGATTTCTTTACTAGCTAAAAATTGTCCCCCGCCAAGGAAAAACTCTACATACACAAACAAAAATAAAAGTTGTCAACATTAGATTTATTTATGTACAATAGAAAACCAAAGTATGGTCCTTACCCTACCCACAAAGAAATCTCTAGGGGTAGAGAAAAGCACTAAGAGCAAAGAAATCTAAACTTAAGTATAGCCTGACCATGATGGTACATACCCAGAGTCTCAGGAAGCCGAGGCAGGAAGACTGCTTGAACCCAGGAGTTTGACACCATCCTTGGCAACATAGCAAGACTCTTCTGAAAAATACAAAAATAATGTCTGGGGATGTAGCTTAATAGTGGAGTGCTTGTCTGGCTGAAGTGTGAAGCTCTGGGTTCAATCCCCAGTATTAGAATAAACAAATTTAGGTGGATGTGTGTTTGGCATGTGATGAGCTGTCTTTTTGTCTTTTTGTATAGCTACTCTTTGTCATATTTAATAACTATACTGTGGCACTTTTGGCACGTTTCTGAGTCTCCATGCTGCTCCTTACATTAGCTTCACCTCTCAGCTATGTGGGGTAGTGTCTTCTGTGTATTGGAACAGGATATTGATAAAATAGTGCACTGGACAGGGCAAAGGACATGGACCTTATTAGGGCCCTGGGTTTTTTCTTGCTGTTTGATGTTGACTTTATTTGAATCTCATTGACTTAATCTGTTGTGATTCTGCCTTTTGGTTATTTACAGGGATTTAAAATTCTCTGGAGGGCCAAGGCTAAAACTCAGCAATAGAATACTTGCCTATCCTGTGAGGCCTTGGCTTTGATTCTCAAAAACAAAGAAACAAACAAAAATCTTTGTAAATTTTTAAATGAAGATATGAATAGTGATTCATTGGTGAGATCTTAGAAGTGGCTGAAGTCCCTGAAATTATCACTTTTGTGTTTGGTCTGTATCTCTCTTTGTATTTTATTTCTCCCTCTGATTGTGAAGGACATTCTCCTTATGGAGAAACACTGCATTTTTGTTCTTATCTATTACTTTATGCTCTCTTGTCTAAGTACTAATTATTAAAAGCATGGATTTCCCCCATATGTAGATACTATTATTTTAACTTACTGGATTTTTTCCTGATTACACAAGGAACATTTTCCTCTGAAGCATATTTTTGAAAATGTTTTTTAAAAATACTTTATGCTGCATGTGGTGGTGGATGCCTGTAATTCCAACTACTCAGGAGACTGAGGCAGGAGAATCTCTAGTTTGAGGCCAGCTTGGGCAACTTATTGACACTCTGTCTCAAAATGAAAAAAGGGTGGGTATGTACCTCATTGCTAGAGTACTTGCTCACATGCCCAAGGCCCTGCGATTGATTCCTAGCAGTGAAAAAAAATTACAGTGGTAATTTCCTAATGAATTTTCAGGACAGATATCAAGTAATACACTTGATACATTGTTAAAATATGTCACCATGAGCATATGAATATCCACAAATATCTCTTCATTGAATCTTTTATAGAAGAGTAGGGTCAAGGTCCTGGTGTTTCTTAATGCTTTTTATGGCAGATTCTCAGGATTGGTATCACCTGTGTTCATATTAAATCCAGATTTTCAATTCCTTTTACATAAGTATGTGCTATTGTTTTGTTTTGAAGATAGTCCTGATTTTTCCATATACCTAATAAATTGGTTTGCCTGCTTTGCCTTCTGTTAGTCACTATTGTGACGTAGCTAGTAAAAATAGGTATTGTTTATTGAGCCCTTGCTGTGTAAATACACGGTCACCCACTGTTTTACAAATACTTTTTTTTCAGTACTGGGAATCAAACCCATGACCTCATGTTATGCAACATACTTAAATTTTTAAAAAGATCCCTCAGGGAAATTATTATTACCTTATTACTGCAGATAGAGATGGGTAAACTACTTAGGGGGACCCTGGTCTATCCTGATATCAAAACACACTTTAGACATTGAGCCATATCTCTCTCTGTTGACATCATTTTAACTGTCAGCATATGTTCTCAGAATGTATGTATTTTGTGGTCATGTGTATAATTACTTTAGCAGCTGGAAATGCCCTTTTCATACCCCCCTCCCCCCATTCTGGGGTCAAACCCAGAGCTTCATGCATGCTAGGCAAGTGTTCTACCTCAGGGTTACACCGCAGGCCCCATTTTTATGATTTTTTTTTTTTTTTTAAGAACCGAGAATTGAACTCAGGGTAATCTGCCACTGAGCTGTAGGAAGCACTTCCCTTTTTTTTTTTTTTTGGTCCCAGGGATTGAACTTGGGACCTTGTGCTTGCAAGGTAGGTGGTGGAACCACTAAGCTAAATCCCTGGCCCTTCATTTTTTATTTTTACTTTTTGAGACAGATCTCACTAACTTGCCCAGGGTGGCCTTGAAGTTGTAATCTTCCTGCCTCTGTCCTTGAGTAGCTTAGACTGTAGGTGTGTACCACTGTGCCTGGCTAGCATGATTTTTAATTGAAAAGTAATGTTTTATTGGTTATATGGACTCATTGGGCTTTTATGGGCCTGATTTATTCTGAATGTGGCTCACACACATGCATCTCATTTTCTAGGTCCAGAAGCTGCTTTGCATGTGTCCTGTAGATTTCCATGGGATCTTCCAACTAGATGAAAGACGAAGAGATGCAGTTATCGCATTGGGCATTTTTCTCATTGAATCTGATCTTCAAGTAAGGCTTTACTAAATTTAGTTTCTGCATTGTGAAGATGGTGGGAGAATTTTAATTTGTCCTTGCTTATATTTACCTAATGCAATACTAGAAGAATGCATCCCAACCTAATCAAAGTGTTTTAAGGCAGAGATCGAAGCAGGGTACATGAAAGATGGGAATGAGACATCTTAATGCTGCATACCTTCTTAGGGATTTTTTAAACTGTGAATATATTATATTGTAAAATTAAATAATAAAAAATCCTTGTTTTATTTTTACCAAAAATAAGATAAATTTCTTTAAGAAGTAATTGTGTGCCCTCCAGAATAAGCTTGGTTTTCAGTCCCCGGTAAAATGCTCATCAGACTTATGGATGCTATTGTTTTATACAAACTGAGATTTTGTAAAAAAATGACCATTATTTTGTTTTGTTTTTATATTTACCAGAATTAATTGAACCAAATGATTGATCATTGAGTTTTTGTCATCAGGCACCATTTTAAAATTTTCAAGTTTAATCATGTTATGTTAGGAAAATAAAGATGTTAGATATTCGAATACTTATGTAAAAAATTAGTTTGTATGTACTTGAAGGTTTATGCTAATGCACATTAATATTTTTGGCACAATACTTATATAGTTGAAAAAATAAGCATTTTAATGTGGTATTTTAATTAAGTAGGTTTTCTTACCTACATCACAAGAAAAATCAAAATTAGATGCATAAACTGCCTTTAGTGTTTCTTCTGAATATTTATTTATTTATTTAAATTTTTTTGGTACTGGGGATCAAACTCGGGACCTTGTACTTGCGAGGCACCACTGAGCTAAATCCCTGGCCCTCTTCTGAATATTCATAAATGTGAAAAGAAAGAAAATCATTTCTACTTTCCTATTTGCCAAATCCTATTTAAATATAAAAATGAATTATTAAGGGTAGAAAATAATTTTTTTTTGTTTGGTGCTGGGTATTGAACTCAGGACCTTGCACTTGTGATGCAGGTGCGGTGCCACTGAGTTAAACTCCTGGCCCATAATTTTTAAAAACCTTTATAAGAAATTCTTGTTGTTGACAGGTCTTATTGTATAGTTCAGGCTGGCCTTGAACTCTCTATGTAGGCCAGGTTGGCCTTGAATTCTCAGTGGTCTTCCTGCCTCAGCCTCCTGCATGCTCCACGGTGTGCACCACCATACCCAGCCCATTGTTGTATAAATATATTTTGCTTGAAAGTATCCTTGTTAAACATAGATTTATCTGTAAGTCCCAAAAATGTTGAACTCATATTAGACTTTTTAAGATATCAAGGAAAAGTTGAGTGCAAATTACCTTTGGTGTAATTCTGGTTCCTGGTAAGGATTGACAGGGTTCCAGATGGCACATGCCATTGTCTCTTGGACCATACATTTTCTTGTGCTTCCAAGGAGGCCCGTGGGCCTCATGAGTACCAGGAGAGGAACCCATCATGCTTTGTCAGTCCCCTGAGAATGCCCTAGGGACCCACTTTTCTTGGCTCTCCTGGTGTTTATATTCCTTCATCCAGGATGGGCTGTGCCTTGGCCTCTTTTGTGTCTTGTTCTTGGGCTGCCATGGCAGCAGCTATGGCCAGGGTAGTTGGAAGTTTTACTACCACATACTAGTAAGGCCATCATACTTTATATAGGGAAGAGCCACCTGTACTGCTTCCCCTGCAGTGTAGGTCCTTTGAAGGTTCCCCTTTCTCCACTGTGGTACTAAGAATTGAATCAAGGCCTTTGCATTGAGCTGTATCCCAAACTCTTTTTTCTTTTTTGGTACTGGGGATCGAACTTGGGTCCTTGCGCTTCCAAACTCTTTTTAATTTTTTTTTTTTGGAGACAAGGTCTAAGTTGTTAAATTGCCCAGGCTGGGTTCAAACTTGGAATCCTTCTGCCTCAGCATCCCAGCATACTAGGATTATAGGTGTGTATCACCATACCTGGCCCTGTGGAATTTTGTGTCTTTTCAGTGTACTAGGATCCTGGACAGCTAGCTACCTTTTATCTGGATCTTTTTTTTTTTTGGTTTTTCGAGGCAGGGTCTCCCTTTGTAGTTCAGGCTGGCCCTGAACTCACTATGTAGCCCAGGCTGGCCTCAAACTCTCGGCGATCCTCCTGCCTCAGCCTCCCAAGTGCATGCATCACCACACCCGGCTAGCTACCTTTTATCATTTAGAGGAAAAATTGTTTTTCCTAAAGAAAATTTTGTTTGTTTAGGTTATCTATTGTGGCATAAAAAACTTGCCCCAAACTTAATGGCTTAGTAACAATTTTTCTTTGGCTTATGAATCTGCTTACATGAGTCACTGTCTACTCCACTGGGTGTCATCTGGAGTGGCTTGAAAGCTAGGGGTGGAATCATCTGAAGGCTCATCCACACACATGTGTAGGGATTGATCTTAGGGCTTTTGGCCAGGGCAGTCCTGTGTACATGGCCTCTCCATGTGGCCTGGGTCTTATTACAACATTGTGTTTGGATTCTAGGGCTAGTCTCCTGAGAAAGAGCCAGGTATAAGTTGCATTGGTTTCTCTATTCTAGTCTTAGAAGTCAGAGTTACATTTATGCTGCTTTCTGTGTGTGTTAGAAATAAGTAACTAAGGCAGTCCATTGTCAGTGGGAAGTGAATTGGGTGGGAAGAACATCAAGGAACTTGTAGCCATGTTTTTAAAACCATCACATGGTGTTTAGTATATTGGAATATCAAATCTTCTTCTCTGGAGCATGCTTATCTAATCTTGAACTGGAACAATCAATTGGGAAATAACCAAAAAGCCAATGATGGAAGGGTATGAAGCTGTATGTTATTGGCTTGTTTGGAAATTAGAGGAAAATAATTTTTTTCATTGGGGTAATGTTGGCCATAAAGTTTAATGCTCAACTTGAGAAGAGCATGAGGAAACATGAAGCAAAAAAAAAAGTTTTTTTAAAGCATCTTATCCTTGAGGCCATGGATTAGTTTGGGGCTGTTTGAATTCCTTTCACTGAAGGCAGCTTTAAGTGTATCACATATTCCTTCTGGAGAGGTCCTCACTGAGGCTCAGCCCCTAGAGGAGACCCAAACAGGCTGGACACTCAGCTCCAGAGGGCAAATTGGAGCCCTTAGACCTTTGTGGTGCAGGCTGATGTGACAATCTCTGGATTCTGCTGTATGAAAATAGTAAGAGTGTGATGTCGTGTGAACTTACATACACATTATATCTTTTAGGTGTATAATATCTTTTAGGTGATTAGGATGTGGATATACTTTGCATTAAGTTTAATCTGTGTGAAAAAGCCAGTTACTTATTAAATATAATTTTTTTTTAAGCACAAAGATTGTGTGGTTCCATACCTTCTTCGACTTCTCAAAGGTCTTCCAAAAGTGTATTGGGTAGAAGAAAGCACAGCATGGAAAGTCAGAGGTAACTTTATATATTTCCCTGAATGCAAAGAAAAATATGTTCAGTGTCTTTAAGGATCAAGCGTTTATTTATACTAATACCTAGTTAGGATGCTTTTAGCTGCTCCCGCTCCTGGCTGTGGAACAACTAACTGCAGCGGGGTGGGCTGAACTTATTATTCACTGTTGTCTAGAGCCCATAGCAGAGGGAGGGAGAGAGGAAACTGGGCCAGCAGCTTTCTGCTCCACTCTTCTGAGAGTGAGCAAGAACTTCAGGACCTTTATAAACCTTTTCTTGTATGTCATTGGATGGAATTGGATCACCTGCCTATCCCCTAAACCAGTGATGGCAAACCTTTTAGAGCTTTCAGTGCAGTCGCACGTATGCCATAGGTTTACCACCACTGTCAGTCATATTGCCCTCAGATTTACAGACTCACTCCTGGAGGAATTCAGTTGTCCATATTCCATTGCTGCTGTACCAAAAGGGTGGGATGGATGTTGGGGTTTAACCATGATGTTAACTACAAGTAGTTTTATCATTTCGTTGCTGCTAAGTTTTAATTAAACTTTATACCTTTGGAACTGGAATAAATTCATGTGTGCTTTTTTTTTTTGGTACTGGGGATCGAACTTGGGAGGCAGCAGTGGAACCATGGAGCTAAATCCCCGGCCCTACTGCCCTCTTTTTCCCTTTTCCCTTCTTACCTTTTTTCTTTCTCTTTTGAAATGGTCACATAGGTCCTTTGTGTGTCAAGCATTGTATTGAACACTTATAACACTGAATTTTTTTGTTTGTTTGTTTGTTTTTGCGGAACTGGGGAACCCAGGATCTCATGCATATAGACAAGTGCTATACCCCTGAGCTACCATCTTCAGGTTCCCTCCACACACACACACTTTTTTTTTTTTTACTTTTTGAGACAGTCTTGGTATGTAGTTCAGGCTGGTGTTGAACTCACTGTGTAGTCTAGGCTGGCATCAGCCTTCTGAGTGCTGGGATTACAGGTATTCACCACCATACTAGCTCCCCAGTCCTTTTTTTTTTTTTTAAGTTTATTTTGAGAAAGGGTCTTACTGAGTTGCCCAGGCTAGCCTTATGCTTATAATCCTGCTTCAGCCTCTCAAGTAGCTGGGACTATACTGATGTTCTTATATACTGTACTTGTTTCCCAAGGCTCAGAAGATCTCCGTCATTTTAGGAGTCATGACCCATGAGGCAGAAGTTTCTTTGGAATTTACTTCTGTGGGGGCTTGATACAGCAGGAGTTAGTGTCTGCAAAGGAGACATTGGTCCTTTTCATTGGTAATTTGTTAGGTGGATTTGGTCTACAAAAGACAGGTTTTTCTTTTTTTTGGTACCGGGGATCAAACTCAGGACCTTGCGCTTTCAAGGCAGGCACGGTGCCATTGAGCTAAATCCCCGGCCCCAGGTTTTGCTTTTCTTGTACACATCCTGCTTGTACCTCTGTACCTTTTGACCAGTGGGTTTTCAGATCCCAAATTGTACATGTATCCTGCAATTTTAAGGATGGTGAATTAAATAGAATGTCATTACCTAAAAATCAGATGTCTATATCCATCACTGTGTTATGTAATTTGAGAATACCAGTGGAATATTGGTGGAATACCAGTGGGTTTTGATGCTGTTTTCTTTCTTTCTTTGCTTTGTTTTTTTTTTCCCTTGAGATGGGCCTCACTGTGTTGCCCAGGCTAGTCTCGAAGTCCTGGGTCCAAGTGATCCTCTCTTCTGAGACTCCCAAATACCAATACCTGGAACTGCAGGTGTGTGTATCACTGTGCTTGGGTTGTCTTCTTTTTAAAATTTCAAAACAGTGACCACTTCTGTATACGTGGATTCATATTGGAATGAAAGTTTCAGTATTTTTTTTTTTTAAGTTTCAGTATTTTTTGTGACGTTGTCAGGGATATTAAAAATTTCCAGCCGAGGGTGGTGGTACATGCCTGTAATCCTAGGACTTGGGAGGCTGAGGCTGTAGGATCACAGTCAGTTTGAGGCTGCCTGGATTACAAGATTAGTTCAAGGCCAGCCTGAACTAACTACATGGCGAGACCCTGCCTCACAAAAACAAAAACAAAAACAAAACAGAACGATCCAAAAAAATTCAGAAATCACTATGTAAGAACATCAGTGTGCCTGGGCATGGTGGATGTCTGTGATTTCAGAACTTTAGGAGGCTGAGGCAAGAGGACGAAAGTTTAAGGGCAGTTCATGCAACTTAGAGACTTAGTGAGACTCTGTCTCAAAATAAAAAAAATAAAGGACTAGGGGTGTAACTCAGTACAAAGGCCCTGGGTTCAATCCCCAGTACCAAAAAGAATAAAAGCAGAGGACTGCCTCTGGCTCTAAAGGCGCCTAAGAACCTCCCTGATAGGATGCTTAGCACTAGAAGAACTTAAAAACTTATGAGGATGGGGGTCGGGGTATAGCTCCCAAGCTTGGGGTGTAGAGCACTTACCTAGCATGCTTGAGGACCTGGCTTTTATCTTTTTTATATCCTTTTTTTGAATCTAGCACTACTAAAAAAAAATCCTGTGTAGAATAAAGCAGATCTTTGGAAACTCTTATTAGAGTTTTCCCTATTTGCCAAAACAAAGCATGAAAGAAAATAAATAATATTTTAATCAATTTAAAGTTATATTATGTATTTCACAGCTTTCCTAATTGTACCATCCTTACACTATCAAGATTAATTTATTTTTATTTAGATAGGGAGTAAAAAATGGAATCTGTCATGTTGAGAAGTTCTATAATCACAAACTATAAATTGGGTCAGGAAACATTTAAGTTTACTGCCAAAATGTTTTTCTAAAAGAAAGGTAGGAATGTTTCTCAGAAAACACGCTGGCCTCATACCTGTTCTATTGAGACTCAGTGAAGGCAGTCACTATAAATTGGTCCCTTTGCATGCTGTTGAGTTGAAAAATACTTAAATTGATGTGACCCTCTGTCTTGTTTCTGACGATCTGATTTGTGTCTTCACATCTTTAGGTGCACTCCCAGTGGCTGAGAGCTTTAGCTTCTGCCTAGTAACTTTGCTGTCTGATGTGGCTTATAGGGACCCTTCACTTAGAGATGAGGTAAGTATGTGGCAACTTGTACTTTGCTATTAGATGAAAAAAAAAAGTTCCAGAATGACAAAAAGAGGGAAAATTGAAGTGCGATTGGATTGTTTGTGATTTTGTTTCATACTATTAATAATAGTCTTAAATGTTTCATACTTGCTTATAGTATTTTTCAGCTTACAGTATTTTTTCAGGATCTCATGAGTCTTATTCAATATTCACCAAAGCCCTATGAGGTAGGTAGAAAAGGCCAAGGCAGCTCATTTGTCTTCCTGTGGGTTGGCATTCCGAGTTACTCATACAAGAGAATTTCTGTGTAGCTAAACTTTTACTTTAGAGTGCCCAGACTTTTAGTTTTGTTAATTTTGTTGGAAATGTTGTCAAGTATTTTGTGCTTCCCTCCTTTTTAAACGAAGACTATGACCATAGTTTAAACTTTTCCTTAATCAAATTTGTCATTTAGAGTCATTTTTATATGCTGCAATAGTTAGGTACTGCCAAGGAGTGCTTAGTTGCTTGCCCATTTGCCAAGTCTTCCAAGCTAGCATTGCTTTTTGAGTTCTTTCTAATTTAGATTCATTTATTTGTAGGTTGGCTAAAGACATAACTATGTTAGACTTAGTTGATTTTTATTAAAAGTCAAATGTGAAGGGCTTTGTAATGAATAAAGTGTATCAAGATAAAGATGCCAACAGTGAAGATTATGAAATGACTTTAATATATGAAATAAGAAAAAGTACAGGTTGAATATCCCTAATTTGAAAATCCAAAATCCAGAGGGCTCCAAAATCTGAAATGTTGACCTCTGACATGCTGCCACAGTGGGGAAATTCTATATCTGACCTCATTTGACAAGTTGCATTCAAAATGAAAACACATTTAAAATACTGTGTAAAATTATTACACATGATTTTCATGTTTAGACTTGGGTCCTGTCCTCAAGATACCTCATTATGCGCAAGCGCAAGGACCTGAGTTCGATCCCCGGTACCAAAAAAAAAAAAAAAAGATATCTCATTATGTATATGTAAATATTCCAAAATCTGAAAAAAATCCCAAGATCTAAAACACTTCCAGCCCCAGACATTTACTTAGCATTATTTAACATTAAGAAAATGTGCGAAATTTGGTTGCTTATGAGCAAGTCATGTCAGACCTACTTCAATCTTTTTGGCTGGCTTTTCCAAGACTAGTCGTTGAGAAAAATGAGGTAGTTGCAGTCTGTTTGATCTTAATGGAAACATTGGATAAATACCTTTCTTAACATCCTGAATCAATTATATAGTCTCAGGACCCACATGATTCATAGGGTTTTTGGAACTGCCTGAAGAACCATCCCAGAGGATGATCGGTTAGGTATCTGCTTGGTAGGAGCTTCTTTTTTTTTTTTTT